TAGTCAATTACCAAAATTTGGATGATTTTGAATATTCACTTGAAAAGTTATCAAAGAAAAACATTTTTCATTTTGTAACTTCGAGGGCCCGTAACTTGGTTACGAAGACTTTTAGGAAAAAAAGTTATATGAAGTACTGATAATATTTTGACCCCATCTATACATTCCCGAGAGGAAAAGAGGAAGTCCAGGGACACCCTGTATTGCTTGTCTCGTCATTCCATTTGGATTTCAGGACATCGGCTGCGGATGCACATCTTCACCGGCAGCAGGATGTAGAGATGATTTCGAATTGGGGTGATGAAAACCAGATTCAATTCAATGCCACAAAAACCCAGGCTCGGTTATCTCCAAGAAGATAAATGTCTCCGAACCGGATATATCAATGTCAGGGCAGACAATTCCATTTCTGCTTCGATAAGTTTATTGCCGATTAAGATGGACACCAATATGTCTTGGCACAATCATGTCGCTGGAGTTGCATAGGCTGTTTCTCAAAAGCTTTGAACACTGTTCAGAACCAGAAAACTGTACACACCTCAGCAAATTTGCGTGTATACATTCCTTCATCGCTTTCGATAATGAATACCGCCTTTGTAGACGAAACACCAGGCATAAAAACCTCAAGCCCATGGCCAATAAACCCGAAAAATAACTTCAACAAACTTATTTTCTGCTGTGAAGGTTTACATTCTTTGAATAATTTATTTATCCCTTTTCTTTCATTATTCAGTTTTTGATGCCATCATTCCAATGAAGTCCCTCAGGGATCCATCTAGGGACCTCTGATGTTCCTGCTTTTCATCAATGATAGGCTAAAACATGTGAATACAAACCGAATAAATCTATATGCTCAAAGTTCTGTTGAAATTACAGATTGGTGCAGCAAAAACTACACAATAAAGAATATGAAAGAGGTATAATTCCACTTTATGGAACACTGTCATCCTCAATATGATGGGCATTCAATGTTTCGGAATAAGACACTCACCTTTATTGCCTCTTCAGCACAAATCCGAATAACATTACAATGTGAAGCAGTGAATTCATTACTAGAATTATGACTTTTTGTCGCGAAAGAGTAAAATCTACTCATGTCATTGATGACAGTACGTAACAATGTTCATCCGCACATCTAATTTAATCCCAGCCATAGGAATCTTGTTTAAATTGAAAGGGGTACATTCTTTAACAAAGAAAGTTTTTGGCTTTCTACTTCTCCATCTTTATATGTAAAAAAAGTGGGAATCTTCCAAAAATTAATCGCTCCTGAGAACTAAAGACGACAGCAGACTTTTCGGTTCTTTCAAGAGAACAGTACAATGCTTAGAAAAACGGTTTGAAGGGTAGCTCTTTGCAAAATAACTGCTTTGAATGTAATATTTCAAATTATAGCATTAACAAGTATTCCATACATCTCACCTGTAGACTAGTGTCAATCTCAAGTGATTCCCGGTTCGTACCGAACTCATTTCTCGAAACATCTAATACGACCATTATAACCCTCGAAACTGATTCAAGCAAAACAATCTAGATCGAACCTAACACCACAGCTTCCAGAATTAAATCGATACGGGCTATAAACGATCAATCCGTGGGTGATTAAGAATTTACGGTTAATGAAATAAATTTAAGGTAAACTGCTCCAGAAATTCAAGGTCTCAACACATGAATGCGTCATAGGCGTCCGCAAGCGTCGAAGATATGGTGAAATTTCGGAAGAAAATATACAGGATGGTCTATTTTTGAATATGAATATTGTAAGGTTCAAACTAGGTGAAAGGAAAATGAGAGAAAAAGAAGAGTGATTGGGGGTCTTTGGCGCAACAGAATCCAAAACAATGATTTTCAGGATTCTTGCTGTTTTTACCAACTACTCTTTTAAAAAATGAGTTGAATTTTAATTTTTCTCAAAAAAAAAACGTTGCAAAAGCATCGTGGACAATACTCATGCAACGGTCTTTTTTTTGGTAAATATTCTAATATCTATACGTACCTTTGTATCTCTCCTTGATACAGTCTTCAAAAAAGATTATAATCAACCCAACAACCAATCTTAATTTCCCAAATTGTTAGATGGTCTAATAACAAAAAAGCTATCAGGAGATTGTGGAGATATATAATCATAAATCAGCAACATGGATTCATTCGTGGTAGATCTACCAGTACAAGTCTCCTCATTTATCAACACTTTATGACAAATGTCTTCGGAAATAAACACCAGGTTTTGATTCTATTTTTCAAAGGCATTCGTCCAAGTAAATCACAATTTGTTGTTGCATAAACTGAACGCTTTGGGTATTCAGAAAAACATTCTGAAATGGATTGAAAAACATCTCACCTGCAGAGTCCAATATGTTAAATATGGTAATATAATTATAATATGCTTATTTATCAAAAATCATAATCTTGAATACAAAATGCTTATGTGAGTAGTACTTGAAAGCTGAATAAATAAACATTGGCGTCACTGAAGAAACAACCTCAAGATTGGTCCTTGTGTGTGATATAGCACAAGTATGTATATTATATTTTACCTTAGTATAAGAACTTGATATAGATATAGCTATAGTTTTCCGTAAACCAGATGTCGCCCCTCTACGATCGACAACTCTCAAAAGTCGAAACTTGTGCGAGAAAGGACTAACGAGGTCTTACCTTTTAAGGTGCGATTCCCAAAGAATATTCTGGAGTTTTTTCCCAAACTAAACCGTTATTTTAACACCTCATCGACACGTGTTTCGATCACCTACTGATCATCTTCAAGAGAAATATCAAAACTTTTTGATCAGAAACAGTTTTGATCTTCCTCTTGAAAATGATCACTTGGTGATCAAAATACGTATCGAGGTGTTAAAGTAACGACTTGATGTCACAATATTTAATAAAAATACATATATTGAAAATATTCACAATGAGAATACTAATTTTTGTTATTTTTGAAACCTGAGTGCACATAGCACATAAAAGTTATTTAAAATTTCACAATGATTGGTTAAATTTCATGCAAGGTCAGTGAATATAATATTCATATATCACATAACAAATTATTTGAATATCACAAATAGATGGTTAACAGTTGTATGCAAGGTATCACATCCAAAGTCTCATTAGAGATATATATCACTGTCTTTTGAATAGGACAGTTGTTAAAACCAATATATATCTCTGTCATAACTGTCTAGCCAATTTTTAACTTGTTTCTTAAACACAAAGTAATTTTTACTAGTTTTTATGGTTTCAGGCAGTAATTCTCTCGTTAATAGACCCAGATAGCTGCAACATCTTCCTCAATCAATGGCCATAACGTCAATATGGATTAAGAACTTTTTAATTCTTCTTTGATATCATTTGAAAAAACTGAAAATATCGTAATTTATTAACCTATTTTTGGCTTTCTTTTCTAATCTTTTTCCTTATATCTAGCTGTTATAGTACATATGTGTGGATTGGTTAATTATTTTGTGAAAATAGGCAATGCCGTAGATAAATAAATAAATAAGAAAAATATATCTTTCTTGTATCAAAACTGTTTGGGAGGATAATAATTAGATTCAAATATACTATTTTAAGTCACTTCAAAGGCATATAATCTGTAGCAAGCTCACGAAAACCTACATGCTTACCAATTAGTAATCTCTATAAAGTTTGTTAATTTGTTTAAATTGCATTGCGAAATATTATGGAGAGTCAATCCAAGTGAGGATACTACAATGTAATTTAACGCATATTGGAAATCGTCACTAAGAAACGGGTCAGAAAATAATAATTATGATTCAAATAAAAACACTAGCATTATAATATTTGACAGATGAACAGTGAAACAATTTAGTTATGTGCCACCCTCACTAGTACAAACTGTTTTATTTCGTTCTCATCAGTTAGTTTTCAAATGATTGTTTGCCTCTTCCAACAAAAATATATAATTCAAAATTTTAAGAAGTAGACCATATGTTGGAAATGCAATGAGGGCAGTGCAAAAGTGTAATTACAATAAGCCTGAGTTACTTCTAAACGTTATATTGAACATATCAATAATTTATATATATTATAATGAACTTGTATCTGACCTCATTGCATTTCCAACAGGTTATGGGCCCAGGCAACAAAGTAAAAGTTGTAATCTGTCAATAAGTGAATGTTTCATCATTGAATTTATCAATATGAGTTCAAGTAATGGTTTTGGATCTTCCATTGAAAAGCTCACTGGTCGAGATAACTACAATACTTGGCGGTTGGCAGTTCAAACTTATCTCGAACATGAAGAACTCTGGGAGTGCGTCACAGGTACAGAGAAAGATGAAAAAAAGATCACTAAAGCCAAATCTAAAATAATTTTGCTAATTGATCCAATCAATTATGTTCATATCCAAAATGCACCGACAGCAAAGGCTGTTTGGGACAAACTGAAGGCAACTTTTGAAGATTCAGGATTAACAAGGAGAGTTGGATTATTGAGAACTTTAATTACAACCAGACTCGAGAACTGCAATAATGTTGATGATTACGTAAACAAAGTTATTGTTTGACATTTTGTATGTATATGAATGACTGTCAGATACAAGTTCATTATAATATATATAAATTATTGATATGTTCAATATAACGTTTAGAAGTAACTCAGGCTTATTGTAATTACTTTTGCACTGCCCTCATTGCATTTCCAACACCATAGCACATTAATTGAACATCAATCCTGATCTGTAGCTTTGAGAATATAATCTATGCTATTGAATGGATAAATGAATGAACTACAAAACTGGCATAACTATTTATTTGCTCTTTCTACAAAAATATCTTTACATTTATCTTTCTTCGGCTAACTTCTTCCTCTCATTTTCATAAATGTAATTCGCAAAATCCTCAGCTTCCTTGTATCTCTTTCTCTTCACGAAAGGCTTGTATAAGTAAGTATAGGAAAGTATTATGCCGAGTGAGAATCCGACTGTAGATACCACCAGCCATCTACTTTTACCAGATTGTCTGGCAGCGAAAGATTCATGCCAAGACATTTCATATATATTATTGCTCAGAAGCTGAGGATGGAATCGGAACGTTCGGGGTGGATTTTGAAATATTTGTTGTAAAAACTGGTTTCCAAATGTAGTATCCTCCTACAACACCCAAAAAAGTAACGAGTGCTAGTTGTGATACTGATATTGATCGCGGTTTTCTGATTCTAATTCTCATACCAGTAATATTAGAAGTTTCTGCAACTTTATTTCAATTTATGAGATTTGAGAGTTTGTGTTATGTATGAAATCACATTTGTTGGTTATGTTTCGGTTTGTTCGTTTGTAGCCTGAGCTGCGTTATTTTTGTAACAAGATTATAGAAATCCGAAAATGAGTTCTAATGTTTGGTTAATTCATCCATAAACATATATCAAACTTATCCAAACAACACTTTGTTGTGGGAATTTCACTCAACAGCTTACACAATGGAACATTGTTGAAAACGCCTGTTTCGGAAACATCTTCCGTCTTTTAGAAAAGCTGAATAATGAAATTTCATTATTCAAATCATTAATTTTATTACCAAAAAACATCAAGAAACATATCTTTCGAAGGACAAAACACAGCTAAACCTGAAAATGGGTTGATGATAATAAGAGTTGTTGGTATCGTTATTCCTTCCGTCATTTTCCATTTAAATACGAACCTTATTCATCACTATCAGATCATGTTCATTAATGGCATCAAATATGCGTGCCCGGAAAATAAAAGACAATGACGTTGTTAATTAACCTAGCCTGAGAATACATTTCGTAATAAATTTTATTACACCCAGTTAATTGAAAATTATAGATGTGCCCCCCTCAGTGCCAGGGGCCTGCTACAACTGTACTCATAGCAGAAAGGCTACCTGTTACCTTATGACCTTGGATTCTAAAGCAAACACGCTGAATTGTTTCTCCTAATATTTGTGAAGAGTATCGACATTCATTGAAGGATTTATAATATTGAAAGAAATAACATACAACAAACTATTCTTTTAAAAAATCCGTACAAGTTGATCACTCAATGCGATTTGCGATTCACAACAAAAAAGCGGGTATTTGAGATAAACGAGCCTTAATAAAGGTTTTTTGAAAATAATGGATCACACGTGTTTGACTGTGACATAGATTCCTTTCTCTAGATATGCTACAAATATCAAAGGCTATTCAACTAGGATCCCACAACATGGACTCAGACAATAATCACAGAACTTCTAATTATATCATTGTAAGATATAATTATGAGTTCTGTGGCAATTATTTATCTGTGACTAAGACTACGTAGAACGTGAAAGAAGCTGAAGGAACTACTGAACTACTGGAGCTAATTGAACTACTTGTGATCCAGTACATTTTTTTATTCACAAACTTATCTCTAATCTTGGATACTAAATTGAGTAGATTAGTGAGAGGTTTGAGATTATGATAATATATTAATTTTAATTAATCACATGGAAAATGTGAAAGTAACTATGAGTGAAAGGTGTGGTTGACATCAGCAGTTTATGCAAAAACTTGTGCCAAATTCAGAGTCAAGGCCTGATATTTCTAAAGTTTGATATTCATTAACATAGACTACTTAGTGTTAGAGTATTTAAATTTTTAATGCAAATGATAATGATGACTTCAAGTAGTGATGGATATTGATTCTGCCTCTAACTGTTCTGCTGCTTCTAAACTCACGAAGGAAAGAAATTCCACTGAATCAGGCTTCAGTGAATATCTTAGTGAATTGGGAGAATTGCAATATCTAAGAAGCCCACAAAACTACTCTCTCACGAATAATTTACTTTTTGAAACATCAAAAAATGATTCTGGGTGTGACATTCATTGTGAAGAATATATTGATGATCTATCACATCAGTTACAAGGTGCCCTAAAAGTGGATTTGCAGTTTGAAAATGAGAATATAAGATTGAACCATCGCAGCAAATTTGAAGCTTTGTTAAAAACTAATGGTGAGCTTAGGTCGAAACTTACAAGAGCCAATGAACAAATTGACAGATTATTGAACAAATATTGTAGGAGGGAAAATTTGAAATTGGATACATTTTTTTTGCAATTGGAGCAGAATAACTATGACTTGAAGTTGCAAAATTCTATATTAGAAAGAAAACTTTTGCAAGCAGAGACTGAAAAAACTGAAGCGGAACTTCAGCTGAAGAAATTATACATAGATAAAAATCAGAACAAAACTATTGTGGACATGAAAAGTGCGGTTATTGAAGAGTTGAAGGAAAAAATATCAACTCAACATGTTGAAATCATTAGGTTAACAAAAAATATGTGTAGTTCCTCACAATTAATCAATGAAGTCAACGTAGAACTGGAACATACTAGGTGTGCATTAGAATGGCATAAAAACGAATTGAACTCATTACAAGCTAATAAAAAAAGACTCTTGGATGAGTTGTCGGATTGTAGAAAGGAGATGTTTCTACAAAAAGAATCAATTTCCAATCTGAACTTAGAATTACACAACATTAAAAACAATTACGAATCCCTACAGCTGAAAGCTTTGACAGACAAAGTTGATTTCTACAAGTCGCAAAAGTTTCAGCATCCTGTTACTCATGAGGTAAGCACCAAAACGAATAAAGTAGAAACAAAATTATCTAAACACATAAGTCACTAATTTCATGTTTGAGAATAACGCAGTTCATTAACATGTATCATGATGAGCAGGTGCCCCAGGACTGAACCTTTGGGTACTCCATTATCCACAAGTCAAGCTCATGACATCTCATTGTTGTTCATATTTTCCCGACTTGTGGTAGAATATGGTCCAGTCAGTTATTCTGATCTCAGAACTATCAGTATACTGAGTATACTGAGTAAAATTTTTGAAAGGTTTATTTATTCACAAATTAATGAATATTTCAATGCTAATAATCTTTCATCGCCATTGCAATGTGATTTTAGACAGGGTTATAGTACAGCTACAGCTCTGGCTGTAGCTGTACCTTATAAGGGAATGATCAGTAGCAGATTTTTCAATACCATCAATCATGAGCTGATTTGCATGAAACTGAGATATTTTGGATTTGATAATGCTGTCTTATTTCTCATCTGGTCTTATTTACTGGGTAGATCTCAAAAAAAAATTGTTGAATGTCACTACTCTTAATCTTGATATTTCATCTGGAGTGCCACAGGGTTCCATTTTGGGACCTTTATTCCCATCCCATTATTCCAAACAACGTTTGAGAAACGTGCGTCGAGAATGGTATTGCAGTTCTGGTGGTTAGGTGCTTGTTTTGGATTTATTGTACCCTTAAGTTTGCAGTTTGAATTTTGATTTCAGATTATTATTCCATCATCTTTTTTCCTCTCTCAGACTATTCATATTTTTGTTTCTGTAAATAAATGGATGAATAAATTTGGGGACCTCTTGTATTTTATGGAAGTGGAATGAGCTTGTTTATTTAAAGGATCATCACTTGAATCATATATCAGTTCAATTAACGATTTATATATTCATTATTATTATAGAATCGGCAGCAAAAAACGAGTGAGGTGCAGAATGAAGACCCTCTTATTCTGAAAGAATATGAAAGCAACATTCAAGATCTCAAAAATGAAATTTCCAGGATCAATGCATTCGTCAAAATACAAACTGAGACCATGGAAAAAGCTAACAGAGAAAATTCCGATCTGGTTTCTTGTTGCATAAAGCTTCAGAAGTTACTGGAACAAAAAGAAAACATCATTGACAGCCTGGAAATTGAGATTAAGAGCGCAAAAATGGAAATAGAAACGTTTGCAAGCCGAGAACAGCAAGCACTTAAAAACAGGAACGAATTGAAAAAGGAACTGATCAATTTAAAGACAGAACTTGTTAGGAGCAAACAAGAAAATGAAATTGTCGTAAGTACTGTAAAGGCAATAAGGGACCAAGTTTATACCTTCAAAATGAAACATGATTCTCTATCAAAGGAGTTAGCTGATAAAAACAAGCAGATTTCTTTATTACAAAGTGAGAAGCAAGACCTGTTCATGAGGAATAGCTGGCAAATCTGCGAATTAGAGAAAATAAACGACAGAGATTTGTTGATAAGCTCACTGAGAAAGGAAATTCAATTGAAAGAGCAAGAGATTCAGACATATTCTCGAAAGATTGCAGCTTTAGAAGATGCTATAGAGAAACAGGGTATTTCTTTATCGAAATTGATTGACGATAAGGATATGATCATCTCGGAAAATGGAAAAGAAATCCAGAGGTATGAAAATGTTGTTCTTCAATATAAGGACCTACTGCTGTGCTCAGAAAAAAAAGTTTATGACTTACAAAAACGTCAGCAAGGCCAAGTCAATTCTGATTCTGGTCGTGAAGTGAGTCGGGAAACAAAGCGGGCATATCCAAGTTCTTTGATTGAATGCTGTGAAAATCTAGATGACGACTTGAAAACGCTGATGAAAATCAACTCGCCAGAAATTCCCGAAAATGAAAAAGTCGTTGAAGAAACTAACGATTCATGTGCGGCTTGCAATGAACGACAGAAAGTCGTGGTTAAAATACGTTCTGTAGTGGAAAGAGTTGAGAAACTTGGCGAAAAAGTTGAGGAATGTCAAAGACTGTTGAGTGAGGTTTCGGCTATACAGTCTAAGGTTATGCTTGGGAGTAATGCAGTGGAGCAATTGAAGGTTCTACTACAAGTTAAAAATTTACAAATGCAGGAAAGACAAAGAAAGTAAGTTGATTTAATCATAAATCATTTCCACATTTATTACAGGATCGAAAATATATGACACTTTGATATATTTGAAAAATAAAAGATCAACAGACAATAAGAGTAATATGAGCCCTTATTCTTCCCTTCCTTCTTGAAGGCGAAGATAATTTTATAATAATGTAAATGCCACACTTGTCTCAATTTGTTTCGAAAAAGTTTTTCCTGATTCAACTTTTTATTCATTTCACTTGACATTCAGTATGTTCTTGATATACTTGCACTAATATCCGGCTCAAAGGACCAGTTATAAACTTGTCGCTTGTCTTGAAATAAAGTTTTATAATAATTCAATTCAAAAAAGGTCATTTTCCTTTCTTTTCTTTTCTAGATCGGATTTTTATTAATTTCACTTGACATTCAGTCTGTTCCTTACTCGCGATGATATCCGGCTTGAAGGACCAATTGAAAATTTGACACTTGCCTCGAAGTGAAACTTATAAGATTAATAACAATTTGATTCAAATAAGGTTAGGTATTTTCTAGTTCGACTTTTCCTTCAATCTATATGACATTCGATCTGTTATTGAAATGCGTGCATTGATATCCAGCTCGAAGGACCAACTGTAAATTTGACGCTTGTCTCGGAGAGAAACTCACAACTTTAATAACAATTTGATTCGGAAGAGGTTATTTTTCAGATCGAATTTTCATTCACTCCACTTGACATTCTGTCTCTTCCTGGCATAATTGCAATGATAATTGACTCGAAGGACCAATTGAAATGTTGACACATGTTCGAGTTCAATAACGATTTGATGTGATTTTTATTCAATTCATTTGACATTTAGTCCGTTCTTAAAATGCATGCAGTAATATCCGGCTCGAAGGACCAATTTTTAATTGTATTTAAGGTGAAACCAACCCAATTGATTGTTATTATCGAGGGTTTCCAAATAACTGTAGATAGAATCTTATAGGAATCGTTTTAGTGTTACAAACTTCTGAAATTTCAGGATCAAAGAACTTGGTGTGCACTTTTTTCACTTTTCAGGTATGAAAAAAATAACAGAACTCTTTTAAGAAAAGTGAATGAACTCATGCAGGCTCGCGGTTTGTCTGAAAAAATCAATAAAAAACTACAAGAAAGATTTGACCTTTCGAAGGCTGAGAACAAATCGCTGAGATTGACAATTGAAAGTCATATTAGTGAGTATGAGAAATTGAAACAGTCGACTGTGGAGTTAGAAGCTAGGCTGGAATATTGTTCAGCCTGTCATAATAATAGTCCGGACAACAAAGGAACATTGGACTGTCCAGGAAACATTGAGTCGATGATTTCTAGTGAAAGTCAGTTGCAAGAGATAATAAAAAATGAGAATATTTGCAACAAACAAAAGGAGGTAAGTAAATTGGTGTAATTCTTAAGACCCTTAGAAAGGACTCCCTCATCTATAACAGCTGTAAAATGTACCTATCATATATAAGAAAATTGATCAGATGTCTGAACAGATTCAAAAAATCTATAAAAGATTAGTTGATTGATGGACCCTATTATAGTTTGGAATGTTGTAATACAATATATCAGCACTGAGTGTACTATTTTGTCATATATTTTGATTGATGCAACTAATTTTTCTCTATTTTCAGTATTTTAATATTAACATTCGTTTACAAAATGGATTTGAAGCTTTAATAACCTTCTACTTATTATATACGAGCGTTTTCGATAGCAAGCTGTGCTATCACTGAACGTTTTATCTTCTTGTTTGTTCTTTTATACGGTTAGAACGCCTATTTTTCGGAATTGACACGAAAATTTGATTTTTAAGTGAAATACTCAGAACACTATTACCTTTTTGAAATCTACATAGTTTTCTGAATCCGGTGACACCCCATTGTTTATATTCGAATTATGAATTGGAACACATAGTTTTTGTCAAGTGGTGTAATGTCCCGAAACTTCGAAGTACACCATCGAGGATTATGGTCTATGAAAGCACCCGAAACAATTTTTTTCTCTCATGTAATTCAATATTCATGAAGCTCCTGTGTTTGATCTGAATATCCAATTCTTTTTGCTTGTCAATAACAATACTTTCCTATGACTAGTTATGACAAACCATATTCTGGGAAAAGAAGTTTTTCATGTGGATTTTTCCCTTCAGTTTTTTTTTTCAAAAATGTCTCCATTATTCAATATTCAAGAAATTCAACAGGACCATTATGTTCTTCCTTTTAGGTTTGCATTGAAACCTTCCACGAAATCGAAGAACCTCTCAGAGATATGGTTTCTTCAGGTGTAGATAATTCAAAGAATGAATCTATCGACTTGAAGTCGCATAATACCAAAAAAAAATTTGAAAATACTCATCTAGGCAATGAATTAAGGGATAAAATGGAAAGTTTGTCCAATGACAACAAGGTGAGAGAAATAATTTGAGTTTACTAGTTGGTCTGAATATTTCGTAGGCTAACACATAGATGGCGATACTAGTATTGAATCCAAATGGTTTTTAGTCAACCCTAACCTTCAAAAGACACGTGTATAAATTTCACAGCTGTCGGACTATCACGTTGTGAGATAGAACATTTTGAGTGAACCAACTTTTGTTAGTTGATAGCTTAACCTCTAGAAAGCTAATTGGGATCAAAATGTCAAACTCTTTTCCGGGCTACATGAAAGAAGCTCCTTTAGACATATTTGAATCAAAAATAAAAACTCACAAACGCTCTGCTAATTATGATATTTCTGAATTTCGATTTCCTCAATGCTTGTGAATCAACAGAATAACTCATAGATTAACTCATAGATCAGCCTATGTAGTATATGGTATACTAGATGGGCTAAAAAGTTCATAGGCCTAAACACAGATGGCGTTACTAATATCAAATCCATGATTTTTAGTTAATAGTTTAGTATTGGCCGTTTCATGCATAAATATTTGGGTGTGCGAAAGGTCTGTTAGCCTACTGATTTTTCATCCCAACTGTTATTATTGTCTAAGTCTACAACAATTGAGATTTTCGGAATTCCCAACAGTAGTGACCTCAGTCTCCTGAAGCTAATTGATCATTTCAGGTAGTGAGATTGTTTCTTCAGAATAAAACTGAAAATAACAAATGTTTACAAGAAGATCTTTCGAAAACACAAACCAGCAAGTGTACAAAAAGTTCCGATGATTTCGTGAACGAATTGAAAAATCATATTGATGAAATTCAAAACGAACTAGATGTCACCAATAGGGAAAAATTTTTCTTGCAGCGAATTTGCAACGACTTGAAGTTGTCTTTGAGATCACAGTCAAACTACAGTAAAGTAAGATGTTTGCTATAGCAAAATTTTAAAATATGGAATTCGTTAATTATGATGGATAAACTTTCATATGGTTTTCAGATTCTCGAGGAAAAGCTGAACCGTTTGTCAGAGAGAAAGAATGATTACAGTAGCCTGCCAAATATTTGCCCAGGCTTACCATCTTCGAAAATGTATGATGATCGATATATTAAAGAAATGTTGCAAAATAAGGAACCTGTTCAAGATATACATCTGGCAGAAATGAGAAACTGTCTCGACAGTCTCAGAAGAGAAATATTGACTTTGCAGGATGAAGTTAGGCAAAACTGCAGTATTTAGATTGATATTTTGATATATATA